GTTTGTCCTAATAAGTTGGAGGGCCTCCTCTGAGCCTTGCCCTCCCACAGAGAAATAGAGGACACAGTGTCTGCCTCTGAACGGAGATGGGTAAGGGCCGCCATGTCCTCAAGCTGCTGAAAAGGAAGGAGGCGCCCAGGGCATTCTGGGAAGGCCTGTGTGGTCATGGAGGGACGCCGGTGCTTCATCTCAGTGGAGTCTACAGCGCCACCCATGAGCTTGGGCCAACCTGCCCTGCCCTGCCCTGCCCCCACACGGATCAGTCTGGCACTCCAGCCACGCCCGTGGTGGCCAAAGCCTCTGCGTCTCCCAGCTACTTAGCTGTGCGTCTTGATCATGCTTAGGCAGGGATTTTCTCTTCAGAACTGTCAGAACACATTTCCTACGTTGTCACCACCGGGTCCTAGCTGGCATTCCCCGTTCTACTGGCACAGCTCTGCCCCGCGAGGCCGGCCGGGGAGAAACCTCAGCCATGGCTCCTCCGGTGCCCAGCTGGGGAGCAGAGCCCGCTTCTGCCAGAGGGAAAGATGGGGTAGGAGGGTGGCAGCCCTTGCTGGGCCCCACACTTTGTGGTCACAGACACTGTCTCCTTGAGTCTTCCTCTGAATCTTGAAGCCCCACCACCATCCAACTGCTTATATAGAAGGACTGTGAGCCCAACGCTGGTGGCTCACACCTGTAATCCTTGCTACTCAGGAGGCTGACATCTGAGGCTCACATTGGAAGCCAGACTGGGCAAAAAAGTCCATGAGACTCTTACCTCCAATTAACCACCAAAAAGCCAGACGCAGAGCTGTGGTCCAAGCGGTAGCAAAAAAAGCTAAGGGACCCTGAGCCTGAATTCCAGCCCCAGTGCTCATATCCACACGCACATGTACACACACACACAATGAACTCTAAGACTCAAAACTAGCTTAGTGACCACGGCATATCCCTGGCCACACCAGACCAAGAATCCACAACTACTTAAGACCAGCACTCTAGTGCTTGTGGCTTCAACCTCATGATCACTGAGCGACCCAGGCCCAGAAAAAGGCCATGAGCTGTGCAGTGAACCTGCTTAGTGTCTTAGGAGCCTTCCTAACAGAGCACCAGGAGAGCCAAACGAGTGAACCGGGGCTGTGCTTCGTCCTGAACTAACATGCCAGCCCCAAATGTACATGCGAAAGCCCACCACTCCCTGTGTGACTGCATTTAAGATAGGACTTAATTAAGTGAGGTCATTAAGGGTGCACTTCTCATCTGACACCCCCAAAAGTGATAAGTTGGCAGGATATTGGAAAAGAAGATGTATTTCTTCAAGAACTGTGGGACTACACCTCTAGTCTCTGCTTAGAGGACCAAAGGAGGCTGTGTCGCCCATGGTCCATTCTCCAGGATGGAGAGAGCCTTGAAGCCCGCTTCTGTTCAGACAGGATTGGATTGTTTCCATATGATCTCAGACTCAGTGAGAAGGAATATATATGCTTACAGAGCTTTTGTGTCAGTACTGGGACTTGAACTCAGGGCCTCACCCACTCACCTCCAGCTTTTTGCTGGCTCATTGAAGATAAGAGTCTCATGGACTTTCCTGCCCTGGCTGGCTTTGAATTGGGATCCTGCAATCTCAGCCTCTTGCGCAGCCAGCACCCGCTAGAAGCAGCATTCTTGGTTATGTTCTTCACTGTCCTCAGATTGCCAAGCTCTGTGGTTAGCACCTGGTTTAAACAAGTCAGGCCCAGGTCACATTGAGCCTCTTGGGATCTGGAGACCGCTTTAAATTCTCTTCATCTTCCTAGACCCTGCTGGGCCTGGGTGGACAGTTTCTCATTATTGAGGCCAAAGCACTCCCTGCATGCTGGCTGTGACTGAGGTCAGTGGCCAGCAAAGTCGGCGGCCTGGCCACTCCATGTCATTGGTGCTGTGTTACGGGAAAGCACAGGAGTGCTGGCAAGCCTGGCCAGGCACAGGGGTAACTTCTACTTGGCACTCTGGGTGAGCAGAGGCGACCTAGTTCCAGGCCCATGAGGACAGCAGATGGAACACTGCATCACGAGGCTGCCACGATCCACAACGCGCGGCTCATTGCTTCAGCCAGACGCTGCTGCTCTGTGACTTTATTACTCCGATGACTTCCTACTGATTGTGCAGAGCATGAAAGGCGGCCCCCAGGCGTGCTGGGCCCCCTGTGGCTGAGTGGGCGTGGTGAGACTGGGTCAAGCTCCGCCCTGGTCCTGGCAGCTCCGCCCAGGTGCCTGCAGCCCCAGAGTCCAACCTCGCTTCCCTTCCCTGGGACATGCTTAGCATCAGTCAGCCAACTGTCACCCCTCTGTGCATGAACCCAAGTCTCCATGCTACAGGGTGGCCCCTTGCCAGACCCCCTGACTGCATCTTCCTATACTGTCTGAAATGGGAATCAAAGGACATTATCTTGAAGTCTCCGCCCTCCGCCTCCTTCCCTTAAGCGGGCACTGTCCTGGACGCTTATATGGTCAGATCTCTTTAGCTCAAAGTAGCCAAACTGCCTATACCCATGGACATGGTCTCTAATCCAAAGACCACACACCCAGTGATCTCTGTAAAGTCACTCTGAAGCCGGTCACTCACCAGTGGCTCACATCTGTAATCCGAGCTACTTGGGAGGCTGAGTTCTGAGGATTGTGCTTCAAAGCCAGCCAGGACAGGAAAGTGTGTGAGACTCTCATCTCCAATTAACTACTAAGAAAAAGCCAGAAGTGGAGCTGTAGTTCAAGTGGTAGAGTGCTAGCCTTGAATGAAAAAGCTAAGGAACAGTGTCCAGGCCCTGAGTTGAAGGCCCAGTGCAGGTGCAGATGCACACATACACAGAGACTCTGATCCAGACTCTGATCACTAATGAAGTTCTTGGGCACACTCAGCAGGAATTTTTATTTGCTAGCAAGAAGGAATCACAGACTTTGGACTTAACATGGTACCTGGGCCAGGCACATTGGCCAGTGTAATGTCTTCTCAGGTAAAGCACGATTTACCTTTTGTGTGTGTGAGTGCTGGGGCTGGAGCTTGAACTCTGAGTCTTGCACTCTTGTTTGGCTTTTTCGCCCCAGGCTGGCACTCTACCATTTGAGCCACACTTCCATTGCCAGCTCTTTGCTGGTTAAGAGGAGACAAGAGTCTCACAGACCTTCCTACTCAGCTGGCTGTGTACCACCGGCCTCAGATCTCAGCCTCCTAAGGAGCTAGGGTTTTAGGCAGGAGCTATTGGCATCTAGGCAATAATAGCATTTTAACAAGGAAGGTTCAAAGAAAAACTCATTCTTAATTTTTGTCCAACAAAGGGCAGGAGGTATGGAGGAACCTCTGATAATGGTATCATTATAAATTCTAAAGTGGTGAGCATTTGGCTGTGTTACAAAATATGCAGCTAATAATTAAAATACAGATTTAAGTAAATGCTTTATCAATACGATCCACCCCTAGGGTGTATTTTTCTCAGCCAGTTCGGGCACTGGCAGTACCACGTCGGAGGGAAGGGTCAGCTGGTGCCAATCTTTAAAATTCCGTGTGGATTTGAAGGCATTAACAAAACCCTCGCACCCGTCTCTGAAGGTTTTTTGATGTCATTTTAGCTATGGAACGAAAATATGTGAACTATTACCTTGTTGATTTTGTCCTTAAACCCAACTGCATTATCATCTGAGAATGTGTTCTTAAAGCATTGTTAAAAGTACTTTGAAAACTTGTAAATCCCTGTAATTTATGTTCCTCCTGCCTCTGCTGGTCCATTCAGTCCTCTGGTTTTAATTTGAAGGCAGCCCTGTCTAGCTGTGTACCTGTAAAATCGGGTTTCTCGGAGGACAATTTACAGTCCTGACCCCCGGTTTTACAGTGTTGCTAAGCTGCTCAGAGCTTCTTCCTGTCTCGGGAATCGGTGCCTTGAGTCACCCAGCTCTTTCCTATTAGAACTGTCTAATCAAACGTTACTTGAAACAGATCTGATTGTAGCATGTCTTAGTTTCTCAGGGAGGCAAGCCCATTCATTGCATCGCTCTACTTCGGAAAATGTACACAGTTGTAAACCCAGACTGCTTCGAGACAACGGGTCTCAGTTATCTAAACAGTTCCCCTTTCAGAGTCAAGGGGACTGATGGAAGCCCAGATAAGCGGTATGGGTTGGACAGGGAGATTTTTGAGCCTGCCTTGGCTGAGACTGCCCCCCCTTCCCCCCCTCCCAGGGAGGGATCCCCTGCTCCTCCTAGGCCGGGCCCCCCATACGGAATCCATCTGGTGCACACAGGCAAGCTAGGTTAGCCTGCAGTGGGCGGGGCCGCAGCACAGACCATATCTGGCTTTCTTGGGAGCCTTGGTTCTTCGCAGGCTGTGGGGAGCAGGACCGCCAAGCCTCCCGGGGGTGGAGAGTGCTTGGGGAAAGCAGTGTGCATCCCATTTTGCATCCTTCCTCCTTGGAAGCTGATCCGTCTATTATCTCATCGTTTAGGTTTATGCCTTTACTAGGGCTTGAACTCAGGGCCTATGGCCTTGTCCTTGAACTTTTTCACCCAAGGCTGGTGCACGACCGCTTAAGCCACACCTCTACTTCCGGCTTGAATTGGAAAGAAGAGTCTCACAGACTTGCCTGCTCTGACTGGCTTCAAACCAGGACTCTCCCATCTCAGCCTCCTGACTAGCTAGGATTATAGGCAAGAGCTCTGGTGCCTGGCTGTAAGCATCTTCAATGGCTTACAGAATGCCTGGGATCTTTTCTTTAAGTTGGGGAAGGAGATTTCTTTTTTCTGCTCTTTTTCAAATATCACTTAAGGCTCTAGTGGGGAGCCAGCAGACTTTCCTGTTTTGATTCCTCCAGTCTATTTTTGGAGGTTCTGCCTGAGGCAGGCAGGAGCCTTTGGCAACTAACCTTGCTCCTCCTCCTCCTCCCCCTCCTCCTCTCCTCCTCCTCCTCTTCCTCTTCCCCCTCCTCCTCCTCCTCCCCCCCCCCCCCCCCCCCCCCCCCCCCCCCCCCTCCTCCTCCTCCCCACCTCCTGCAGGTAATCGTACAGTCGGGCCGCCACCCCACGGTGCTACAGAAACTCTGCCAGCTGCCTTTCCCGTACTTCAGCGACCCCCGGCTCATCAAAGTACTCTTCCCCTCACTTCTCGCTGCCTGTTACAACAACCGTCAGAACAAGGTCATCCTGGAGCAGGAGATGAGCTGTGTCTTACTGGCCACCTTCATTCAGGTACCAGCTCGCCAGGAGCCCCCGCCCTCTTCCTTCCTTTTACACTATCTTCTCTGCCTAAAAATGCATTTCTGGGGGAGCAGGCTAGTCTCTAAGCTCTCGTGCATAGAACCCAGGTGGCAATGAGGGTGGGGGGAGAGGAGGGTGGGAGGGCTGCCATTATTGGAATGGAACCCACTGGAGAAAGGTCTGTGAAGGCCCTGCCTTTTCCGTTTCTTGTAATTTTGGGGTACGGAACCGCAGAAGATCAATTAACTCTTCACTTCTTTAACTGAATTTCAATTTGTAACTAAGTCTGATTCTCTGATAAAAATCTGTTGTTGTGTTACATATAGCCTCATTTATGTATGGAGGTAGGCTGGAATTAGTATGTCTAAATGAATACAGCCGACTGCCAGGAAAAACCGAGTGGATTGTTCTGAGCTATGAGGTATTTTTGTCACTGTCGGTCCGTAGTTTCTGAAAGGATTGCATGTTCTTTCCAATGGTGAGGCCGAAAACCAGTTCTGACACGCGACATGGGAAGCGATGCTTTCTGCTGGTCAGAGCGAAAGAGAAAGTGGAACCCGTGCAGGAGCGGAGCGTCCAATGCGTCTCCTTCCAGCCAGTGCGGACAGCGCTGCCCAATGCTGCCATCTGCACGCTCGGTTGGCAGCCCTTGGAAGAGAGCTCCAGTCCCTCAGCCCTCTTTACCTTAGACAAGGAGAGGTTTCTGTTTTCTAAACTGTCCTCTAGTAGATGATCAATGAACACACACAGCCAGAGCAGTTACAAATCTTTTTATTTTCAGCTTACTTTTTACATTTGAGTCTGGGTTTGTTCCATCCCCCCACCCCCCCAAAAAAAAAATCAAGTCAAATATTTAGATTGTCAACAAGTATGAATTTCCAGTGTGTCTTATTGAACTAAAAGTCTTGATACTCTTCTAGTGGCTACCCACCAGATCCACACAGGGTTCTTCCTGTGTTCTTAGACCTTTCCTAAGTAAATGAAATAGCAAATGCTTGATAGAGAATTGGTGCTGTGATCTTTTTCAGTCAGAATATTTGTTCTTGAATCCAACTGGAAGTTTTTTTGTGTGTGTACCATGCCTGTAGGCACTGGAAACTAGAAGTAACTAAAACAGATTTTTAAAAAAGAAAGAAAGAAACCACAAACTCCTGCCTCAGGCTCTTTGATTAAAACCAACAAAAAGCAAAACAAAAGACATACCAGGTAGCAAGAGCATTGTGGTGAAAGCCCGCAGGCCTAGGGCCTAGGGAAGTGATCAGTTTCTTACTTTCTCCTGTTCTTAACAATTCCACTGACAGTTTTCAGGAGGTTGAGGCGGGAGGATCTTGAGTTTGAGGCCAGTCTAGCCTGCATAGAAAGACCCTAACTCAAAGAGCAAATAAAAAATACAGATGAGATCAGAATCTAAAATAAAGGTTATATTTCCTATTTTAATCTGATGTTATAACAAATTATGTCCCTTTCTCTGTTCCAAAAAAAATCCATATGTAACACACTATTGTTTATTTAGGATAGCATCTTAGAGAAATCAACTTTTCTGTAAATGGCTGTGCTCAAAGAAATAAGCATACATTGAATTTTAATTGACACAGTGGCTCTAGACATTTAATAGTCACGTGAAAATGACACCAACAGAGGGCTGACAGTTTGATAGTTTTCTGAAGATTTACATATTCTTTCCATCCAAAAGTAAAATTAAGAATTGAAGCTTTGGTTTCAGATATATAAAGAAAGCTGTTTATATATAATGAAAGTCGTTTATCAATAGGAGGCTGGGAAAAGAGAAATAGGCTTGTTGGGGGGTGGGGGGGCACAGGCTGGGCTGACGAGGGGCAGAGCAGATTGCTTACACATATAAAAAAAGAACAATGAGACCTATTGAAATTGCTTGAGGGAGAAAGGGAGAGTGATAGAGGAGTGAGATTAATTGGAATGTATTGTATACACATGTGGAAATGTCACGTTGAAACTCCCCATCGTACAATGCGGATAAGCTAACATAATAATAATAATAATAAAACATTTAGTTGCAAAATGACCCTATTTTAGAAACAAAAATCTTGCCAGGCATGGTGGTACACACCCATCTGAGTAAGATCCAGCAGCTTTGAGAGTTCAGTGCCAGCCTGGGCTGCATAATTAGATCCTGTCTCAAAAAGGGGAAAATAAAGCCATAGAAATCTACCATTAGTTTAAGACAGTACATTTGGCTTAAGTTTTAGAGTGTTCTTTGAGTATAAAATTAAGCTGTCATTTCCAAGGAAGGCAGCAACATAATATTTAGCAAACTTAAGTGGCCGCTATTTAGTTTCAGTGTACAAGAAGCCGGAACCCATAGTTTCTGTACTTGGGCTCTGGGGTTGGCGCAGCCGCGGCCCGCCACAGTGCTCACGGCTTCCTGTACACCTCTCTCCCCATGCAGGACTTTGCACAGACTCCCGGCCAGGCAGAGAACCAGACTTCCCAGCCCAAAGGTATGTGCGTTCTCCGTGGAAACAGAACTCCATGCGTGGAGGGGTTCAGTAATGTCATAGTACATCACCAAAAAGATTCGAGGTTCGGGTGCTGGGAAGGTGGCTCAGTGGTAGAGCGCTTGCCTTGCATGCATGAGGCCCTCGGTTCCATTCCTCAGCACCACATAAGCAGAAAAAGCCGGAAGTGGTGCTGTGACTCAAGTGGTAGAGCGCTAGCCTTGAGCTGAAGAGCTGAGAGACAGCGTCCAGGCCCAGAGTTCAGGCCCCACGACCGACAAAAAAAAAAAAGATTTGCGGTTCGTCCAGCAGGTATGTGCGTGCATGAGTGTGTGTGAGCACAGGAGGGAATTCTGCTTGAAGACCTCGTGGGCAGAAGAAGGCACACAACACCTTTGTGATGTCGCCTCGTGCAAGATACAGAAAATGCCGAGTAGTTACAGAAGTGCCACCTGGCAGTTAAAGAAGACATTAAGACTGGCTGATCTTACTCAGAGAAACTCCCATCCATATTCCAAATAAAGTTGTTAATAGTAGCCTATATTTCCCCCTTCATTTGAAGAATTTAAGAGAGAGAGAGAGAGTGTGTGTGTGTGTGTGTGTACTGGTCCTGGGGCTTGAACCCCGGCCGGGGCATTGTCCCTCAGGCTTTGTGCTCAAAGCTGGTGCTCACCCACTTGAGCCGTAGTTTCACTTCTGGCTTTTTGCTGGTTCATCTGAGATAAGCATCTCACAGAATTTTTGGTTGGAAGTAATTACTGGGGGGGAGGTGTGGGCGTGGCTTACGTGGTAAAGTGCTTACTTAGCATGTGTAAGGTCCTACGTTTGATTTCCAACACAGCAAAAAAAAAAAAAAAAAACTTAAAAAAAATTTTTAGTGAAATAATTGTCTTACGTGGAGGGGGGGAAATTCACATCAGGTGAGTTCAGGGGACCAAAAGTCTGACTCACTGACTGAACTGTTTCCTGGGGCCCCAGCTGGGGCTTCTAGAAGTTGAAGCTGCACTTGTAGATTTGACTTCTTCAGCTACCCAGACTGTAAGTGAGTACAATTTGGCCATTGTCTGGCGGCTGTGGCAGCGTCTGTGATTAACGAGAGTCCGGTCCTGGTCTCCCCCGTTGTGCCGCGTTGGTGTTCAGAGCGTGTCCCTCCCACGCCGTTTCCTGAAGGGCTCCCCGAGGTGGCATGAGGTCCTCTTCCTTGATGACACATGTCACCCCTCAACACCCCTCCCCCCACAAAAGCATCTCTGGTGCACAGGTGTTGGAGAACACAGAGAAGACAATGTAACTGTTACAAAATGCTCTGTTTTAGTGTCTCAGGTAACTCAGAAAAGTAAACAGAAAGCTGTGTAACTTTCCAGAAATTCAGTGGAAGGCAGAATTAGAGTGCAAGTTCTGTTCTGTCCTGACTCAGTCACAGACTTTAAAAAAAAGAAAAAGAAAGAAAGAAACTAAAGGACACCAGCCAAATCTGCAGAGTTCGTTAGTTTCTTAGGAAACAGTTTGAATTTTGAATATACGAAGATACTTAGAAAAAAATATTCGAACATATTATCGCCAGTGAGACTTGTAGACATTCGTGTGGGTGTGCACGTGTGCGTGGGGGGTGTGCACGTGTGCGTGTGCACCAATGCTGGGACTTGTGCTCAGGGCTTTGTCCTCTTGCTTATTAGCTGTTTCATTCAAGCCTGGTACTCTAGCACTTGAGCGATACTTTTGGCTTTTTCTTTCTTTCTTTCTTTCTTTCTTTCTTTCTTTTTAGTTCATTGGAGATAAGAGTCTCATGGACTTTCCTGCCTAGGCTGGCTTTGAACTGTGATCCTCAGATCTCAGCCTCCTGAATAGCAAGAATTACAGGCACCTAGCCTGTGTAGACATTCTTTCTTGCTTTTTCTCTCATCCAAAAAGATGAGCTACCTCTTGCTGCCTTTCCGGAAGGAAGATCCCAGAACAAAGGCCCATCGTCTTCCCTGCTTCCATGTTCCCCAGTGACGGGCTTCACAGGACAGCTGATGACAGTCAGTCCTCCGTCCCTGCTTTGTTGGAAGGGGCCCACCCTGTGTTACTGACTGACAGCTCATGATCTGCCCACCCGATGCAAAGCCCATGAGGCCAGTGTGCTCCTGAGATGTGTGTGTCCCCCTGTGCTCAGGGTAGACTGCCATACAACATGCCAAGACATTTTGATTTCACGGCGTGGGTGAACCTTGGCTTAACGCATCACAGCCTTCGCCCTGTCCACTTCCCTGTGTCGCTGGCCATCCAATGGATGGACGACTCAGCACAGATTTGGATGATTACAAAGTTATACTCAAGTTGAAGTTAACTTCCTCAGAAAATGAACAGCCCTGTTTGGGCTTGGGGTGTGGCATGGTGGTAGAGCTTGTCCTTAGCCTGCACAAGACCCTGAGTTTGATTCCAGCATTCTAAAAGAGTTACTAAGGCCAGGCACCCATGGCTCATGCCTGTAATCCAGGCTGCCCTGGAGGCTGAGATCTGAGGATCATGGTTCAGACCCAGCTCAAGCAGACAAATCCAGGAGGCTCTAATCCCCAATTAACCACCAAAAAAGCAGACATGGAAGTATGGTTCAAGTGGTAAAGCACCAGCCTTGAGCAAAAAAGCTGAAGGACAACACCCAGGCCCTGAGTTCATGCCCCAGTACTGAAATAAAAACTTTACCATTTGCACACAGATTTATCTGTTCAATAAAGATAGCATATATGACTCACTTTTTTTTACTGCATATATTTTTCCCTAAATGTTTCTTATTCTGGAGTTCTGAAAGATTTTTTTTCATAAAATGTTTTATATATAGCTTAGGGTCTGAAGATATTAGCCGCTCCGGCTGAATAGTGGTTCAAATGTGTATTAGAGTTGTTTACACTGTCGACAGATGACTAGAGATAAGGCCCTCACTGTATTTACATAAAATGTGTAGTTGGTTTATTTAAAGTATATGACTCCATTTTGTGCTCAGATACCAAAGTAAGTTTCCACTAATTAAACTTCAAAGAATTTAACTCGGTTCAATTTGCTCCTCTCAGGAAAGCACCTTGTGTCCCACAACTACCTTGAACTGGCCAATAGATTTCCTCAACACGCCTGGGAAGACGCGCGGCAGTTTTTCTTGGAAAAAGAGAAGCAATAAAAGTCTGCGCTGGTTCTGTTTGCACCCCTTTGCCGACGGTTTCAGGCAGGGTCTCTGGAGGGACCTGGCTCCCAGCACTGTAGATATGGTATATATTTTTTGTTCTATTTATAATGGTGTAGATACTTCCCTCTTCTTCCTAATTTTGCAAGTTGATTTCATTTCTGCCCAATGTTTTTTGCAGTTTGTTAACTTCCTTTCTATGATTACAATATACATAATTCCCGTTTGTAATATGGCCGCGATTAGACGACGTTATTAGCAAGTCTGTTTTGTTGTAATAAAGTAACTTATTCTGTTTTCGGTGTTGTGTCATGTTAAGCCAATGCAATCTTGAACAGAAAGTGTTGATACTGACTCCTGACGGATCTGTAAATTAAAGTGCATTGAAGTCTGCCTGCGCCAAGTGTTCCTTTATGAGGCTTGGATCGGTGTCCCGGTCCGATGGTGTGCGTGGGGCCCCGGGAGTCCGCGCCACGGCCCCGCCTTCCCGGGAACCTGGACGGTTCTTAGACTCAATCCTGGTGATGAAGGTCCGGCCGGCCGGGAAGAAACTGCTGGAAGCAGCCCGAGCCGTGCGGGCAGGGGCAGCGCTCCCTCCCGAGGCCCCGGCCGGCCCGCGCGTGCGCGGCTGCGG